CTTCAGACACCACTCGTCTGGAGTGTGTTAGTGCGTAAAGAGCATTTTTCCGTTTATGAACCCACAAAAAAAAAAAAAAAAAAAACACACACACACATGCATACATCCGGACATCCTCCTATCGTTATATATAAAGGAAAGCATAATGGCTGCCGAATGAAAACTCGAATTTAAGAATGTCGAATCGATTCATCGAAAGTCGAAGTCGAAAGTACGTGTTCGATCATGAACGTATGAAACAGAAATAGAGTGTCGTTCGAATAAATTGCCACATGGTGTTATCTTCAGGATCATTGCGGTGGATGAAAGACGCATTCTCATGAGAACTTTCATGAGAATGAGGAATTCAGCCGTGACAGTGCTATTTACGAAAGCGCGCTAGAATTACAAATCAGATTTCTAACCTCGAATAAGAAACAAACACCGTGCATACATGAAATACATTAGTGCATATTTTCTATAACCAGCGCCGCCGCGGCCGCGACGTTGATGCCCTTTAATTGTGCTTTTTCTCAATCTTTCCTTGTGTTTCTTTAAAAAATTAATGATTCATCATAGTCTTATTAAACTGAGTATTAAGATTAATGGACACAATGCTTATCGGGTCATCAACTGTTTAATTTCAATATTTCAAAGAGTGATGCAATGATTCTTAATTTTTGTGCTCACTGAATGAAGTTCTAACTATGATTATAATAAAGATTCTATTCGGAGTGCGAAGCAATAATTATTGAAGTTCTCACAACCCAGAATTGTTTAGTNACTGTTTAATTTCAATATTTCAAAGAGTGATGCAATGATTCTTAATTTTTGTGCTCACTGAATGAAGTTCTAACTATGATTATAATAAAGATTCTATTCGGAGTGCGAAGCAATAATTATTGAAGTTCTCACAACCCAGAATTGTTTAGTGTTCGCCACTCCTTTTGTTCTCCTTTACACCTTTACCAAACCATTTAATTATTTTTGCTGGAAAAATTATATGACAGATTCTAATGCTCCATCGCTAATTCGGAGTATTTTCTCGTCATTCATTCTCTTTTTCACAATTTTATTCGACGATGCCATGAACTTGAAACTTTGATGGATCATCTGAATTTTTGTCAACTCCTCCATGAAGTCCCGAAATTCTTGTGAATTTTGTTTGAAAAACTTGGAAATTTTTGTGAAATTATATTCTCCGATTTTTCAAATTATGTTTTTCTTTCCCATTTGAATCAATCAGAGTGCAGTAGTTGGTCTCACGTGACTCCTTCACATCAATTTCATTTGGAAAATTCCACCTTTCCCTATCAATTGTTCTCCCATGGTTTATTGAAAAATTCTCTAATATTTGCAAATCTCATGAGACATACCGAAAATTTTCTCTTCTTTATGCCGTTCGGGAAACAATAGCATTGCGGCTTATTATGAGCTAATTTTATATGCATGTTATATCCAGGGAAATGGGGTGACACAATACACACACTTGATAAATAATTGGGGCGGTTTATTAATCCAATTGACTAGAGAGCGATACAAGAAGTTGTGTCATGTTTGACATCTCCAAAGGGAATCAAAGAATAACGATGTTATTCCAAAAGACAGTCGTTGTTACTTGGTTCTATTGGCATCCTTCAGACGGGATACATTTAAAAGGATTCGAAGGAGGATACGTAATATGCATTAAAAAAATTTTCTGCTAATGCCATTTTTTAAAAAGCGTATTCATGCTAACATGATGCGTATGCTAGCTTTTTTGTATGTTAGCAGAATAATCATTTGAAAAATCAATAGAATTGAATTTCCGATATCGGATCATTTGAAGCTAATTAAGAGCTAATTTCCTACGTATGCAAAAAAAATTTCAGCTAATCCAGTTTTTGGAAAAATGGCGTTGATGCTACCTTACTGCAAGTTAACAGAAAAAATCGTTAAAAATTAACAAAATTTGGTTTTCAACATGGGATAATTTACAGCTCATTAGCAACTATTTTTCACGTTTCGAAAAATTGTTGAAGAAAATTTTTTTTTTCTTGAAAAATATATTTGTTTTAATAAAAAAATTTCAATGTTTTTTTTTCACAAAATGACGCATTTATATACTTTTGCCCAAAATGTAGGAATGACCACATTTGTAAAAGTGATAAAAAAATTCTTTTTGACATACGCTTCTTTTAAAATGGCATTAGCAGAAAAAATTTTAAATGCATATAAAATTAGCTTATAATAAGCTGCAACGATATTGTTTTCCGAACGGCATAAAGAGGAAAACTTTCGAATTATAACAAATTATCTGGTAATGATTTTTCAATTATCCAATGTTAAAACTGATTTTTTTTGCCACTTTTATGAATGAGATTTAGTTCATTTCTACATTTTAGCCAAAAGTATGTAAATGCATCGTTTTGTGAAAATAAAAAATCAGAAAAAATTTTGTTTAGAAAAAAATTTTGTTTTTTTTTTAATTTTTTGAAACGTAAAAAAATAGCTGCTAATGAGCTCTAAATTATCCCATATTGAATACGAAAGTTCGTTCATTTTTTAACCATTTTTTCTGCTAACTTGCGGTAAACTAGCATTGACGCCGTTTTCCCAAAAACTTGGTTAGCTGAAATTTTTTTGAAAACGTAGAAAATTAGCTGTTAATTAGCTTAAAATTATCCGATATTGAAAATCAAATTCTATTGATTTTTTAAATAATTTTTCTGCTAACTTACAAAAAAGCTAGCAGAGACACGTTTTTTTCAAAAACGGTATTAGCAAAAAAATTTTTGAAGGCATATAAAATCAGCTCATAATCAGCTGCAAATTATCCAATATTGAAAATTCGATTCTGCTACTTCTGCCAGCTAGGTTAACATACGTGTTTTTATCTCCGTGCTGTTAAAAAATGTTGAATCGCAGTTAATTTCCAGTGAACTTTTATATTTTAAGGCTTGTACCTCTCTAACTCTTAAAATTTACTATTAAACTGTCCTTAAAATTTTAATCTTTTTTTTTAACAGTATAACTGCTATGTACTCATAATTATGAGCGAATATTTAAAAAATAGGAAAAAAAAATGAAAAGTCGACTTTTCGAAGTAGACTAATGAAATGATTGAAAAAATTGCGATTTTCGGAGACCATGACCGTGTTTTTATAAATGATTCCATTATAATCAATTTTTCATTCAAAGAATAATTTCTCCTGAATTGTAACGAATTTTTCTGCTCCAAAAATCACACCAAAAATCAATTTTATGTGAAAAAATTATATTTTTCGGAAATTTGAGACATCCTATTATTAATTCCTAAGAAGAGAATGTTGGTAAAAGCAATTATTGATGGAATTTTGTTCGAACTCCGCTAATTATTTATTCCATGACGCCATTGTTCATTTTCGAGCTTTTCCTAGCCAATTTAATTGATAAATTAGATGATTTAAAATCTTTGAATAAAAAGTATTACAACTTTTTTATTCCATGGAGAATATTCAATATTCTTTGATTTTGTGGTTTAAGTATTGATTTCATTACACAAAGCTTCTAAAAGAAAATTTAATAGATAGATGTTTATTTGCCAAAGGGATCCCAACACCCTTGGCGCTGTTATGTCCAGAGAAGGATTTTAGCGTCGAATGGACATGTTTTAATTGTCACATTAAAATCAAAACTAAAATTATTGAATTTTATAATTAGTGGACGACGCAAAGTTTTATACTCGTACTTTTTTTTTAAATCTAAGGGAAAAAGGGCTTGATTTAGAGATAGGGCTTGAGTTGAGACGAATTTCTAATCAAGACATTTGGAGTTGTAATGGGAATCAAATTTGAATTTAAATGTATTTTGTATAATTACTCGGTTTACAAAAACATAAGCGTGATTTTACCGAAATCTAGGTAGCTAAAATTCCTATCCGTGGAATGATCTGAAGGATTCAAATTTGGGTTTACAAATTTTGTTACTCACAATTCAGTCTGTTATTTATAAATTATTCGATGTATTTGTAGATCCCTGGGTAAATCCGTAATTTCCTCACCAGCAATTAGTCGCGCTAAAGGCTATTATGGATACTTTCACGGAAACACTTTCTTCTACTCGTTGATATTTTAATGAATTTTTGGCAGTTGAAGTTGAAGATTTTAAGAGTTTGGTTGAGACTGTCCACAATGCGTCGCAATTAACGAATTCCTTATTTGCAAGAAAAGTCACCACTCTCGGTTAAAGAAATTTTATTCCCGGATAATTACAATTGTTCGTAACTTATTATTAATTCAGTACTATCCCGTGTAATCGAAGGAAGGATTGAAAAACCGGACCGATTAAATGAAGTATTTCCACCAGAATTGTCACTGCTCCGTCGCTGCTTCAAGACTATTTAATTTTGGTTTTTCTGACATTTTTATATGAATTTTTGGGGTCACTTGTCACATGGGCTCCAACGAGTCCATTTTTAATTGGTGGAAAATGTCATATTGTAGGACTTGTGATGGCCGGGAGTAACAAATCACTACTAAACGAATAAACAATTTAATAATATATTTATTCGCCGAAGCGTCAGTCTCATCAAGTACAATGGATATTGATTTGATACNGTTCAGCATCAGGTTTCCAAGCGGTGCGGAGTCCTAACAAAACCAACGGCAAAACATCATACCAGCTATCGCCGTGGCAGCGAGGTACAGCTTTCAACTGACGATGCAGTCTCTCCACGAGTCCGTTAGCCTGGGGATGAATTGGCGTAGTNGATATTGATTTGATACGCAGTTGCGCTCGATACAACGGATGCCGATCAACTGCTAACGGCTCCTGTGCGATAGGACGCCGTGATAGAATAATTCGGTAGAGGCGCGAAATGTAATCCTCTATTATTGTGTTGGTATATCCGTGAGGACAGCAACGAAATATTAAATGCCTGAGCGTGACGTCAGACTGTCTCCTCAGCTAGGATGTAGCGAGCCGCTACATGTCTCCCCTGCTGAGAGAAAAACGTAGTTTTTTAGAGAACTGAAACAAAAAAACAGAACAATTAAATTTGCTCAACGACAGGATAGCGTGGAAATTCTCTGCTGTCTCCCGGGTGTCGTGATGCTCGAGTCCGGAGGTTGCCTGGGGTCGTAAGTTCGTGTTTCCAATCGGTCGTTAAAAGTGACCTTCCTGGGCTGGCCAGAGGTTCCTACTGCCGTGGCTGCTGTTGCTTGCTGTCGTTGCCGCTGTTGATGTCGTGGACAAGCTTCTGCAGGAAGCTGCCGAACCTGTTCCATGTCCTCGGGAAGAATGAACGCAGGTTTGAGGCGGTCGATAGAGATAGGAACGTCTTGAAGATAGTTGCCTCTCCCTAGTGACCTACAGTGGACAACAAAATGTCTATCGTGCCTGCTGACGACGCGATATGGTTCAGAGTATGGAGCTGCGATATTCGGTCCTCCAGTCTCTGTCCTGATGAAAACATGCGTGCAATCGGCAAGGCTCTTGTGGACGATAGTTGGCTTGGTTCCGTGACGAGACATCTCAGTGGGTGCTACCGCCGCGAAATGTCTACAGAGATCCCTCAAAACTTCCGGAGCTGCTCGATCGTTCGTTGGTGTAAACAATTCACCTGGGAGCCGAATTGCTTCTCCGTAGGTGAGCTCAGCAGGTGTGCGTTCAGCATCAGGTTTCCAAGCGGTGCGGAGTCCTAACAAAACCAACGGCAAAACATCATACCAGCTATCGCCGTGGCAGCGAAGTGCAGCTTTTAACTGGCGATGCAGTCTCTCCACGAGTCCGTTAGCCTGGGGATCAATTGGCGTAGTAAGCTTGCGTCGAATTCCCAACATCTCTGTCAGACGTCGGTAAATATCCGCGATAAACTGGCCTCCTCTGTTTGACGTGATCCTGAGAGGTACTCCAAACCTCGCGATCCAGTGATAGAGAAGTGCACGAACTACTGTTTCTGTCCTGATGTCCGGTAGTGGCACCACCTCTGGATACCATGTAAACCTGTCTATAATTGTGAGATAGTCCTTGAACCCTTTCGACAACGGTAAAGTAACCAAGTTGACATGAATATGCTCAAACCTTTGGGACGGTAAAGCAAGCTCAGCAAGAGGTGCTGCTTCATGCTTCGATACTTTATTTTTCTGACACGACAGGCAATGACGAGTCCAATCCAAACAGTCCTTACTCATACCTGGCCAAACGAAACGATCGGCGATAAGCTTCCGAGTTCCTTTTCCTCCGGGGTGCGCGAGCGAATGCATGGAGAGAAAAACTTGCCTCAAATCGCTTCTAACTCTCGATCGTAAGTCGCATGATGACGTTCGGAGAGAGCAAGCTTCTTGCTGAAGAAGGCGAGTGGCTGCCAACCATCCTGATGTCGTTGTTGAAGGACAGCGCCAATTGCGTGATCCGATGCGTCGGTGATCACAGCCCACTCAGCGTGCACGTTCGGATGTGACAGATGAGTGGCTTCAGCCAGTGCCCTTTTGCTTGCATCGAAAGCAGCCTCCATCTCCGGTGTCCAATCCACCGGATGCTTTCCTTTAACGGCAGGTCCCCTGTGTGCTGCGTTGAGAGGAGCGAGAATTTCTGCAGCCCCTTTCATAAACTTTCTGTAAAAATTGAGAGCACCAAGAAATCTGCGAAGAGACTTAACGTTAGAAGGCTTTTGGATATTCAAGAATCGCTCTTACCCGGTCCGCAGGGGGCTTGATCCCCTGTGCGTTGATGGTATGCCCAAGGAAAATCACCTCCGGTTTGCCAAGGACAGACTTCGCTACATTTACCACCAGACCGAAATCCTCCAAACGTTGGAACAGTTGCCTCAGATGATCTAAATGTTGCTCAGGTGTCTCAGAGGCGACGAGAATATCGTCGATATACGGAAATAGAAACGGCAGATCCCTTGTGACTTCATCGATTAAACGGTGAAACGTCTGAGGAGCGTTGCGGAGCCCGAAAGTCATGAACGGGAACTCGAACAGCCCAAAAGGAGTTATTATGGCCATTTTCTGGATGTCTTCAGCTGCTACCGGAACTTGATTAAACGCCTTCACGAGATCGATAGTCGAAAATATCGTGGATCCGTAAAGATTTGCGGCGAAATCCTCAAGGTAGCGAACGGGATACTTGTCCGGGATCGTCCGATCATTCAGACCCCGGTAATCACCACACGGTCTCCATTCTCCGTTTTTCTTAGGAGCCAAATGAAGAGGCGAAGACCATGGTCCCTGACCGCGCCTAGCGATGCCGAGCTTCTGCATATTCGAAAACTCAGCCTTTGCTATAGCGAGCTTATTTGGTAGCAAACGTCTTGGTCTGGCCGATACTGGTGGGCCGGGAGTAGTCCTAATGTGGTGTTGCGTCATATGCTTGGTGTTTCGAAGGAGTCCCTCCGGCTTCGTTATCGCAGGGAACTTCTTCAGTAGGGCTACGTAAGATGAATCCTCTTCAATCGTCTGGAGTCTGACTGAGAACGACTCGAATTTAACCAGCTGTCCATCTGTTGAGAGACCAGTGGCGCTATCAATAAGTCGTTGATTCTTGAGGTCAGGCAGAAGACCGTAATGATGCAACAGGTCAGCGCCAGTAATGTACCTCGAAACGTCAGCTTCAACAAAACGCCACTTGATTTCCTTGCATAGGCCAAGATCGAGCAGGATCGGAATGTAGCCATAAGTATTAATCAGAGTGTTGTTGGCTGCGAACAGCTGATAACCAGACGCATCCTTTTTCCGAGAGTGCATCCGGCGAGGACACACTGAAACGTCGGAACCGGTATCCACTAGGTACTGTGCCTTGGTGGACCTATCGGTGACAAAGAGGCGACGGGATGTTAATAAAGAGCTGCGTTCCGTCGCTAACGACTCTCCCTGGAGTTTCCCTGGTACTGACAACCCAGATGGCACTTTCGTGCCCTGTCACCAAATCTGAAATGGTACCAGCAAGCGTTAGAGTTGTTTAATACCTTTCGAGAATTGGAGCGTCTGCGAGAATTGTTGCGACCATTGGGTGGCCCTCTTGAGCGAGAACGCGACTCACGCAGCTGCATCGCAGCTACTGTAGCCTTCAAACTCTCTAGCTCATCACGAAGCGCAGAGTTGACCACATTACCCGACGAGGCCGAAATAGCTACAGTCTGATGAGGTTGAAAGACCTCATGGACCCTATCAGCCAGTTTCGCCAGGTTCTCCAACGAAGCGTCATCCTGGGCAGCAAGCGTCGCTCTAGTCTGCTCCGGAAGGTGAGACNTTGCTCCGGAAGGTGAGACAGCCAGCGTGTTTTTAAGACCTCCTCATCGATACCTGGAACCAGAGCCTTTAAATGCCTAAGATGCTTCGAGGGTGTACGATCTCCAAGATTCTCATTGTCCAGCAGTCGTAATAAATTCATTGACCTTGATGTGGTAAAACATCGAATTAATTCATTCTTCAATGTTTGGAACGGGGTATTAACTGGTCTAGCAATAATGAGATCCTCGACCTCCGCTGCATAGACCGTATCAATTAGCGGAACAGTTTTATTATACTTATCGATCTCCGCCACTATTCCAAGATCGGTAAACTGGGTCTCCAGTTGAGCAAACCACAGCTGAGGTTTATCAGGGTTGAATGGCCTTGCAACGAGCTTAGGTTGCATCACGGCTGCAGCTGCTAAAAATGCGTTGTCTGTGGNGCCACTATTCCAAGATCGGTAAACTGGGTCTCCAGTTGAGCAAACCACAGCTGAGGTTTATCAGGGTTGAATGGCCTTGCAACGAGCTTAGGTTGCCTCACGGCTGCAGCTGCTAAAAATGCGTTGTCTGTGGGGAGCTCCTGGACACCCGGCATCACGTACCACGAAAATCACTTGACAATTATTTACCGAAAAATCGCGGTAATCGATAAATTAAAAAAAAAATAGCACGTGTCGTCACTCTTGCGAAGTCGTTAAAGTCTTCACATACACCAGCACAGCATCTATAGGGTGCTCAGCAATGTGCCAGCGAGATAGAGAGAGACGGACGACCAACCCTCAAGTATCCCCACTTGTTCACTCACTTGCCGCGAGAGAAAACGCGGGAGAACAGGTAGAGCGGAGAATAAGGTGCGAAAATCACCGAGGGTGAACGCAATTACCCGAAGGGGTGTGCGCGCGCGTTGTGGGCGGGGCGTATAACGATGAGGAAGACGCCGAGAATCGATTTTCCACCGACTCCACGACGCTAAATCGAGACCCCCCACGACGCCATATTGGGCATTGAAAAATAAAGTCACATGCGAAAAATGTTATCCGTTAATTTGCAAGTTTAGATTAATTTTATGCACTCGCGACGACAGCCGCTGCCTGGGAAAAATGCTCGCGACGTTAACCACCGGCAACAGGGTGAAATAAACGCGCGAGATATGAGGAAAAAAAATTCGTTGTAAAGGCACGCGCACTCGCGAGGCACTTGTTGCACTGCCGCACTCCCTTTGAATTAATTAATTAAACGCGAAAATCACGTCGGGGTCACCAATGTAGGACTTGTGATGGTCGGGAGTAACAAATCACTACTAAACGAATAAACAATTTAATAACATATTTATTCGCCGAAGCGTCAGTCTCAACAAGTACAATGGATATTGATTTGATACGCAGTTGCGCTCGATACAACGGATGCCGATCAACTGCCAACGGCTCCTGTGCGATAGGACGCCGTGATAGAATAATTCGGTAGAGGCGCGAAATGTAATCCTCTATTATTGTGTTGGTATATCCGTGAGAGGACAGCAACGAAATATTAAATGCCTGAGGGTGACGTCAGACAGTCTCCTCAGCTAGGATGTAGCGAGGCGCTACAGTATGACTTTTCCCACTCTTTTGATTTTTATGGGGAAGTAGTTCATTCGGTTTTTGGGGTCTTAATTAATCGGTTTTCAATCGTTCTTTCGCGCTCGAATCTTAGCATTGAGTAACTGGGGCATGCTGAGTGTGCCATTTCATCACTTTTGAACTCGACTCCAGTGCCTTTGGAATTTTTAATTGAGTTCAAGTGATGAAATGTACTCAATTTAGCTTACAATTGTGGGTTTGGTTCTTAATTACATCAAGTTATAATGTAACTTATAGTTATGATCCTATATAAAATCTATTCTAGTCTTAAATTTCTAGTATAAAATTTTTGGATATTACAGCCCCCGCTCATAATTGTTTCCGATTGCATTTTGGAAGCAATTTTGAAGAGTTGGAGTTTTAAATTTTATGTGTAGTATGGATAGAGTTATTTTGTTTGATAACCGTGCACCGGGCGGTGGCCGTGAGCGGCTGGGTGCTGACAGTGGCACTCTTGGGAGTTCGGATTGCATTGCATTTCCGATTCACCTGTCAGTTTCCCGCGTTCGCTTGGTGACTGTTGAAGTGTTTTTACTTGTGTGTGTGTCCCAGGGATTTTATTGCGGTAAGTATTTTGGAATATTTCTTTCTGCTATTTTGTTTTTGACACGGGTGTGGTGATTTACTCGCTTGGGTAATTATTCGGGGTTTTATTTTATCTGTTGGGTTACCGCTTGTTCTCTTGTTAATTTTTTTTTTATATTTTAATTTTGTTTTGTTTATTTTATTTGTCGGATTTTCTGATCGGTTTTGATTTTGAAGTTACTATGGTGGGTTGTGAGGCGGGTGTAGTGAGAGGCTTGTGCCTGTGCGAATGTCACACAAAGAGGAATGGCCGATTGAAACCATCCACGCTCTTATACATAGGAGGTGTATTCTTCTCCATTCCTCTTTGTGCGACATTCCCACCAGGAGGAGTGGAGGATAAGTTCGGCATGTTCTTCACGGTTAAGCGCCGGGGGGGGGGGGTAGCTATATTATTCGTTTACTTATGTTTATGGATTATTTTTGTTATTATTTGTTTGCTCATTCATTTATATAGATATAAATAAATAAACAGATATATATATACTTATATATATATAAAAATATATATATATAATTTTTTTTTTTTTCATATTTTTTTTTGTGTTCTAGTAGTAACAATTTTGTATATGGGGCATTCCATGCCAACTGAACCAGCGTTAAACCTTGACCATCTCAAATCTATTTCACGTTTTTTTTTCATGATTCTACTCGGTGAAAAACGCGTCTGGATTTTTTTTTAGATTTTTCCATCACACTGTTCATTTTTTATGAATTTTTAAATTTGATAATTTGATAAATTTGATCATGC